AGATATTCATATCAAATCTTATATTGAATAGCCATTAGAAAACTCTTATATGAAATCTTATCCAGATATTCTCAGCAAACGTCAAGACTTGATATGTAATGCAGTTGGCTAGGAAGACAATACCACAAGGAAAAATAGCTCTAAATATACTCTTAGAAATATGAAAATTGAAGAATAGATAAGAGTGGATTTCATGTGCATCATTACAAAGATAACATTTTTTTTTCAGTAGAATACCCTTTCCTAATAAGCTTGTCTTTATTACTCAACCCCTAACAATTTGCTTTCCAACTTAAAGTAGCATAATTAATATAACATTTTATTCAAATGAATTGAGCCAACTAATATCATTCACATTATTGTACCACTTCAAATATAATTTTTCTTTTATTAAGACCATTCTTTTCAAACTATTTTAAGGTTGAACCATCTACATGAATGGTAATACTACTAATGAAACTTAGACAATCCATACTTCATTGGCAAGTAGGATTGGGGAAGTTTCAATTATTATTTTGAATGATGCCAACCACTCTAGAATTATTGGGAATTTAAGTAAAGCAAATATATTCTACCCCATCATATCCAATTGATTTATCATGGATCTAAGGATCCCATAATAGAGACAATATTGAACCCATTGAATTGAATAAGGAATGTCCATTTTAAAAATTTTAATTATCTTTTGAATTTATTTCAGAACTAAGCGAGGTTTGTTGAACTATCTTTACACAAAGAACCATAAACATTATGAAAATAAGAAAGAATGGTTTTATTGTAAAGTCTATCAAAGACATTAACCTTACTAATAAGATCCATCATATCAAGTGAGTACAAACCAGACAACAAATAATCTCATTTATTTGTGGCTACAATCATTTGATTTCAAAGACATTAACCTTACTAATAAGATCCATCATATCAAGTGAGTACAAACCAAAGCCTCCCTTCATTCTTGGTAAAGTAGTTTTATACTTAGAGATATTATGTACTTTCCTATTCATATCACCATAATATAAGAACTTGGAAATCAAAAAGGAGATTTTCTTAATAATACCTTTAGAATGTTAAAAAACTTAAGCCAATAGTTAAGATAATTCTAAATGGTAAATTTAAAATTTTGAAGTCTCCTAGAAGAAGAAAAAAAAAAAAATTCCACCTCAAAAGACAACTAATAATCTCATTTATTTGTGGCTACAATCATTTGATTTCAACTTCGTAGAAGATAAGAATATACCTAAGTATTTCCAAGGGAGATATACATATATATTTTTATTCCAATGATATCCATTAGTTGAACCCTAAGATTAACTTACACTTTTGGAAAAGCTACAGGAAGATTCAATAGGGTTGAGATTAATAGTAGCAATGTTTCAAAAAACAATAAGTATATGTTTCAAGCACTTCATATTTTCATTACAAACATTACCAAGAATAAGAAGATCATTAGCACAAATAAGGTGTGAAATATGACAACAATTTCTATCAAAAAAATTCATAAATCACTATAGAAATGTAGTGCTAAAATAGTTTGGATAAAATATCCTTGGTGAACGAAAATAAGATAGAAAAGAGAGGAAAATCTTGTCATAAACCATTGACGCTTTTAAAATAACAATGTAAATCAACATTAAAAATAATTGAATAAGTACTAAGAATACATGTTTAAATCCAGTTGATATATTTGATAGTCATTTAATAAATCCAAATACCTTAAGCAAACGAGACTTAATTAAACAAACATGATAGGCATTCAAGTAGTTCGAAACACATGAATGTTATTAAAGTTAAAAATCGAACCATGTGAAGAAAAGCATATCAAACATTTTAAAACATGTGAAAACTATGCAAAGCAATCTTTGTAAAATATAAAGCATGAAAAACCATGTGGTGGACTATAGTAGGAAAGTATGAATCATAATTTATTTAGCTTAGATTTACTTGAATTTGTAATCTAGAACTAAGTCATGATAAGATAAGAAAACACCCATTTTAGCATTAACTAATTAATCCATAGCCATTAAAAGAACAGTCATACTAAATCATCAATAATTATGTGAATAAAAATTCATATATTCTTGTTGGCATCAAAATATTTGCATTTTTCTATTTTACCAGACAATCCTTTAGCCATCTTTCTTATGAAACTTCTAATGTTACACAAGAATTCTCATCCAATTTTATCCATCCATAATGATATTTTATTGGGAATTATAAACAACAAATCATTAAGGTCGTATGATACCACTGGACTGTTATGTCCTTAGATAGGATCAATAACTTAAAAGATAGCTATCAAAACAATAGAGGAAGTTAAATGGTGAAGCACAAAACCTGGAAGCTGCTTTGCCGGAGCTGGAGACCCAACAGGGGCGACCTGAGAACACACTGAAGCCAACTGCTACTGCTAGTTGCCACCAATGGCAGCCACCATGTGTGCTCTCAGGCTGCTCCCGTTGAAGCTCCTCTGCTGCTTTTTCAATCATCTCAAACCTGATTTGCCCAATCTTCAATAAATATAGAAAGAGGAAACTTCACTTGGCCGTATTGGCAAATCACCCTTCTGCTTGTACTGCAAGAGAGAGAGAAGTACAGTACTGCATGTACTATAACGTACACCCGGCTTCAACAGTGTACTAAATTTTTCAAAAAAATCTCTGTACAAAGTTAATTTGCATGAAGTAGGTTTCTTATGTTTTCAGTTTTCTTCTTTTTTTTTTTTTAATTTCCGGAAAATGAACATCAAAGTTAAGTCCTAAAAAGAGGAACATCAAAATTGCTTGAATAAACCCAGGATTAACAAACTCAGGTAGAAATAACAATTGTAATAGTCAATTTTGCATGACAGATTTTAATAGAAGTACAGTTTCCATATACATGCTATATTTACTAGTCATATTTTTAGGAAAACTTCTCTAAATTTAAATTCTCCATATTTTTTCTGTAATTTTAAGCAACATAAAAAGTAAAAATAGACTACACATTTTTATAATAGAGACAATAATGACTAACCATCCCAGAAATGTTAGCCTGTTAACTGAGAGAAATCTTAAGCTTTCAACTAAAATATGCCATATCTATGCATTTTTTATAAAATTTGCGCAAATATCCCAGAAAAAACAAACACAGATAACCAGACATTAACATAAAACTTCTACACTGAATTTATTATGGTCCATCACTAAATACAAGTTCAAAATTATTTTACAGACTCTAAAACAGTCATCTTATCTTTATGGATTTTATCACCTGAGAAATACTATAAGAAGCAAATTCTACTCACCAAATTAATCACAAACCAACACTGGTTTGCAGGCAATTCGGAAAGCAAAATTCATCTCTTTTATCAAATCAGTTATATTCTATGGGTACATAGCCTTTCCGTTCATCAACTTTGGCTGGAGCAACAGCAGAAATCACTACAGAAGCTCCAAGCAAAATGACAACTAGAGCTGTGAAGTTGACTAAGAAGGCTTCAGAACCGTATTTTGCAAGGCCGCCATTTTGGAGGAAAGTAAGCTTCTCTAAGAATCCCAACTCTGCAGTTGCCACAGCTAATATGTAGACGAAGAGCCCAAACAAAACATGCCAGGGAAGCGAAGCACTCCGCAATCTGATGGCAGCACCGGGATAGTAGAATGTCACAAACCCATAGATCCACTGTAGAAGAAAGAAAAAAGTGGGATTTAAAGCAATGAAAAATAGGGAAATTTACAAATGTAGCACGCAATTATTATGGATTTGCTTATCTCACACCTGAACTTTAATATTTACACCCATAGCATTTTACCCATGCAGTAATTAGTGCTATTTTTTGATTTGATATGAAAGAATTGAGTGTTGTGCGTGTAAAAATGAATGTTTTGGTGTGAGATATGTAAATCCATATAAATTGAGTTCTATGTATATAGATTTGCACAATTCGAATTAAAGATATAACTTCTTAACAGCTGAGGATCTGCTTGGGATCAATTTAGGTTTTATCTTTTTTTAATTATTTATTTTTTTACTTAAAATAAAATATGTTCGGTAAGTTATAATATGTTTAGTTGTTTTTAAAAATAATTGAAAAAATTTTTAGATGTTTTGAATGTTTTTAAAAAGAAGCTAATTTATTTTTTAAAATAAAAATAAAATTACACAAAAAATTCACTAAATAAATATGTTTTTTAAAATAAAAACAAATATAAATATAAAAAATAAAAAATATAAGTGATCCCAAACAAACCCTAAATCATTCATTGAAGATCTATTGCATCGTCTACTGAAGTTTTCAAGGAATTAATCTACATGGCAACATTATTAGTAGCTATACAACCATTAGTCTATGATACGTAGAATGTAGAGAAGTAAAAGCATGAAGGAAGGGCATATTGCAGCCATTGATTTCCAAAATGAATAGTCATTCCAATATGTGTAAGGATTGATTACAAAAACTAATGGTTAATGACTATGTACATTCATGCCTTGCATTTCTGTATTTTCAATTGGAGGTTTTCATGCATAAACCATGTTGCACATCCAAGCAGAAATATATACATTGAATGGTTATTATTGCTCTTGATATAACTTAAGTTTCCCAATACGCCCACTCGTTTTAGATGTTGATATCATGGACATCCAAACTTATAAGTAAAAAGTTGAAATTGCATACTTAAAATATTTTGAAGAATGATAAATTTATCAAATTTCAACCTTTGGTTGGAACAAAAACTGATTTTAACTTCTAAAAATACTTTCAAAATCCCTCAAAAGTAATGATTGCAACTTAGCACACAACAAAATGAGTGAAAATAAAATCACCGTTTTCCAAAACATTTTTTAATTCTACAACTAAATGAGCAGCCCATACTGCCCTTTTAAAGATGTCGCACATTTGAAACTTGTTTGCCATATATACACTCAATACAAATCCAAATGTTTATTTCTAAAAATTAAATAACACTTAATTTCAACATGTCAAGCTAGCACAACTAGTCCTTAGCTCCTGGTTAAATTGCTGCTTATAAGTAGGCATATGCCAATCATATGCAATTAAAACATCCACTGGTTAGACCGAAGTATCAGTTATGTTAGCATAGCTTTCAAGTTTTTTTTTCAAACATAGCATGAAATAGAAGCAGTAAGACTATAAAAACATGCAACTGTAAATTTGAAAAATAATAAAAATTAAGGAAATTTACATATCATAGAACACAATTCTTATGTATTTCCAGATCTCACACCTAAGCTTTCATATTTTCTTACATAGCACTCTGGTGCTTTAAACCCTAAGCATGAAAATGTGTACTTCACTTTCAAAAAGTGATAATAGTGCTATTTTTATGTGAGATTAAAGATGAGCGCAATGTGTGTAAATATAGAAATTTAGATGAGAGATATGTAAATACATAATAATTATGTTCTGCTATGTACGTAAATGTTTTCACCATTCACTTTGATAAGCAAAACTTAACCTCCTCATCTAACTACTGCTACCAAAAAAAAAAAAGGAAAAGGGAAATAATTTCAGAGAAGATGATTTACTTGAATGCCATATAAGACGATGGTTCCAAGACCAACCCAAGAATGAAGGCTATACAAATTAGCAATTCCGCTGTCATTATGGAACTTGAAAGCAGCCCATATTCCTACTATACCCAGAACAATTGCTATTGCATGAAGGATCAAATGGATGAGCTTCTTCACTTCCTTGCTCCAGGGAAGAACCTTATAGCTTATTATTGCTGAAATTTATCCACATAACAAAATAAAAAAACAAAGAGAATAAGATCTTATGCTATCATTAGATGGCCAAAAGTTCTATAGTACATACCTTCACCACCAATGGCTATGAAGCCAATGAGCATAAAAACTGGGTGAAGCTGAAAGAAACAAATAGCAAGAGCAAGATGATGAAAAAATGTTGACGGTATGAAAAAAAATTGAACATTCTATTTGATATTCAAATGTATTAGGTAATGTTTTGTTTATAGATGGGGTTGTTTGGTAACAGATTTAGTAAACCTGAAATCCGGATTTTACTAATCCTGCCAACACCAGGATTTAGTAAATCTGGGATTTAAGACAAAACTAAGAGTAAATCCAAGATTTAAAATTTGCCCTTTACTTATGTTTAAAAAAGTTGAGTTAAATCCCACTTAAATCCATTATCAGACAGCCCGGAAGAAAATCTCAGTATGCCACCATAGTGAGATTGAAGAACAAAACTAAAAGGAATAAATAACAATAAGCTCAATGCATATTGAATTTCAGTTATACTTGGTGCTAACCTCAAAAAAAAGAACTTTAAGAGCTATGGAAGCCCTGGGACGTTGATTCCTTCATTTAAATAACATTAGTGATGCCACACTTAATTGAAATCAAGAAAAGATAATTTCATCTTAAAGTAAAATGTTCACCAATTGTGATTAAGGTTAAGCATTTTGGAAGTATCTTCAGATTCTTAACAGCCTAATGTAAGATGATCAAATTATTAAAGGGAAACCAATGCTACAATCACAGTACAACTTATTATCAAGTTTGGCAAGGTATCCAAAGCACATCATCACAATATTATTTAAAAAATCAGAACTTAAAACCCCATCGGACAATATGACAAAGGAAACACCAAATCATAGAATAAAAAGAACCCAAGGATTGAAAGCCTTTCTATTCAGGCTACATCGTCACCTTTAAGCATTCAGTCAAAGTCTATTCTCCTCATCAAACATGAGAATAATGGTCTGTTTGGGCAGCTACAGGCAAAACCTGCTACAGAAGAAATTACTGTTCAAACAGCTGTGGTGACTATTATAAATTCATTTTGTTTTCCAAAAATAAGAACTTAGAGACACCCATTTTAACAGCTTAGTCTCACGCTCCATATTCAAGAAGTTGATAAGACAAGTATGGGGCGGAAGATTCTAGAAAAGACCAGAATGTAAGGAGCCATCCAGAGGGTTCTAGAAGACTCTACCCAATTCTAGAGAAACTGAAAATGAAAGGCTCCAAGGAGAAGCCAAGTGTAACCTAGAAAATTCTAGAGCATTGTATGTAGTATAAGAAAGGATGTAGAATAATCCAGAAGGTAAACTATTCTAATGTATTCTAGAATATTCCCATGGGCTTGGAGGGGGTTATAAATAAGTGCTCCTCCCCTCATTGGTAATGACCCAAGCATTCAATCAAAGTTTTCAAGTATTCAAGTGTGAAGTGTTCCTTTCTCTCTACTCTTCTTCTTAAGAGTGTTTGGTGCTCACGAGTCCAAACGTTGTGAGAATTAAGTTGATTTAATGCTAAAGGAGAGCGCTAAAATCTCACGAGTGACTTGAGGAAAGTTAGTACGTGACAGTTGGTATCAGAGCCTTGGTTTGTAGGAATGACAAAGGGTTTCAAAGAACACGTGATGGAGTCGGAAGCCACGAATATAGAGTCAACTCAAAGAGCCACAAGAGCAACATGGGAGGTCCAAGGAGATCATGCATAGCTTTGATTCGCACCTTACTCGGATGGAGGAGACAATGAATGGCATGAAGGAATGAAGGCCCAAGTAGGGGATCTTGGTCAAAGGGTTGATGGACTCGAGGAGGAGGACGTCACCATCCATTCGACAATTAGAGGTATGATGCTCCAACTTGAGAAGACCTTAACGGGTCATATGGTTAATGGGTCATATGGCTAAGTTGCAGGAGGATTTGTTGGGGAAGCTCCAAGAGGTGCAAAGAGCCTATGAGGAGGAGATGAGTGACGTGCGTGATAGCTTGGAGGAGATGCGTGGAGACATTTCACTGTGCAAGAGAGCACTAGCGTCACCCACCAACCATCAAACCTTCGAATCTAAGAGGATTGAGGTGCCAAAACCTAAGAGTTTTGGAGGAACTCGTGATGCAAAAGAAGTAGATAACTTCTTATGGGGTCTGGAGCAATACTTCGGAGCAATGGGGATCTCGGATGAAGAGGCAAGAATTCAATTTGCCACTCTTTATCTTTCAGATATTGCTATGCTATGGTGGAGAAGAAGGCGAGGAGATGTTGAAAAAGGTATGTGTACTATCTCCACTTTTAATGACTTTAACAAAGGCTTAAGCAAGAGGGTTTGATTCGAGACTACATTAAGGAGTTGACAAGCTTGGTTCTTTAAATACTTGATATTTCAGACAAGGATACTCTTTTCAACTTCATGGATGGGCTCCAACATTGGGCAAAGAATCCGCATAAGAGACGAGGAGTGCAAGATCTAGCCACTGCCATCGCGGTTGCTGAAAGCTTGGTTGATTATTCAAAAGAGTCTAGAAAGCCTGAAGAGAAGAAAAGTTAAGATGTCAAAGGTGAGGATGAAAAAGGCAAACACAATGAGGAAAAACGTCGCGAATCAACCCCAACAAAGGCAAGGGACAAGGGGAAGACTAACAACAAGCCATATCAAAATTATTGTTTTATTTGTGAAGGACCTCATTGGGCAAGGGATTGCCCTCAGAAGAAGGTCCTCAACTCTCTCCTTGCAAGCCATAAGGAGAAAGAAGAAAGTGATAGGGAAAATGACATCGAGGCACATGTGGGATCTCTTCAACTGCTAAACGGGATACAACCTCCGACAAAATCCAAAGGGAGAGGGTTACTCTTTGTGGAGATGACAATAACAGGGAAGACCACCATGGTGATGGTGGATACGAGTGCTTCCCACAAGTTCATCTCCAGCGAGGAAGCAAAGAGGTTGGGGTTGTAGAAAAATAAAGAAGGGGGCTCCATTAAAGTCATCAACTCAGCAGACATGTCAATCGACGGAGTAGCTAAGGAAGGCAAGACCAACATTGGGGCATGGTCAGGTACTCTAAATTTCTCTGTTACTTCTTTGGATGATTAAAAAGTTGTCCTAAGAATGAACTTATTGAAACAAACAAGAGCATTCCCAATGTCATTTGCCAATAGCCTATGCATCACGGAAGGGAGTCAAGCTTGCCCAATGCTGATAATAAGATTAAGCAAGCAAAGATCCAAAACACTATCAGCAATCAGCTTAAAGATGACATTACACGGGACAAGGGGGGCAACTTGGTTATCCTTCATGATACTGATGAAAGAGAAAAGACCCGAGGAGATGGGATGCCAAAGAAAGTGGTGGAGGTTCCGCCAAGAAAGAAGAAAGATGGTTCAACAAGGTTGAAGGCGAGAGATAAGCCGTCAGTCAGGAAGACTTGCCGCATGACGCCCCTCTCCCATAACACCAAAGAGAAACCAAGGTTTTTCAAGTCAGGGGACAAACAGAGGAGGCAGTTTAGAAGGTGCAGGGGAAGCCGCAATGAGAGCATTATGAGTTTAAGTTGAGGAGAGTGTCACGCTCCACTATATTCAAGAAGTTGGCAAGGCAAGCATGGGGCGGAAGATTCTAGAGAAGGTCAAAATGTAGGGAGCCATCCAGGGGTTTCTAGAAGATTCTACCCAATTCTAGAGAAAATGAGAAAGAAAGGCTCCAAGGGGAAGCCAAGTATAACCTAGAAAATTCCAGAGCATTGTATGTAGTATAAGAAGGGTGTAGGATAATCTAGAAGGTAGACTATTCTAATGTATTCTAGAATATTCTCATGGGCTTGGAAGGGGCTATAAATAAGTGTCTTCCCTCATTTTTAATCACCCAAGCATTGAATCAAAAATTTTCAGTATTCAAGTGTGAAGTGTTCATTTCCCTCAACTCTTCTTCTTAAGAGTGTTTGGCGCTCACAAGTCCAAGCTTTGTAAGGATAGCGCTAAAGCCGCACGTGTGACTGTCGGCTATTTTTCTTAAGAAAATAAGATTTTAAAATTTAAATTTTGGAATTTAATATATATATATATATATACAATGTAATTTTAATTTTGTGAAAATGGTATCTTTTTATTTTTTGGAAAATGATGAGACCGAGTAGACCTCATATATCTAATAGTTTAAACAGATGAGCGCAATACCATAAATGATATATCATCTTGAAGGATGACCGTATCACTTATTGGTAGACTTAACTATCTAAATTTAAAAGTTTACAACTCTATTTTGGTCTGCAAAATTTATAGCCGACAAATTCTCATATCCAATACATAGATTAGATAGACTTTAGATTAATCTGGGTTCTTAAATTCCCCATAGGAGCAAGCCCCTATAGTTAATTACATCTTAGACAACCGAAGTCACCTAAGAAAACTCTCGATAATGATCAGAGGTTTTGTCTTCAAGAATTCAACGTTCAAGTTTTCACGATTGTTCATAGGAAACATCAAATGGGATAGGTTCAAATAGGAACAGTTATTTCCAGAATCCAAAGAAGTGAAAAGTAGGAAATGTCGAAGATACTGAATAATATTCAGTGACATCTCAAACTAATCCATGGTTTGGCTTTACGTCTTTGAAAGAGAAATTATTTGATGTTTCAGTCCTGCAAATTATTTAGATGTTCGAGACTTGTATCTGTATGTCATATGCAAATAGCCCGAGAAAATGTGAGAATTTATGTCGTACCAGACAACAACCTCAGAGAGCCTAAAAAAATTAGGACTCATATCGTACGATATGAAAATCGTAGAAAGTCTTAAAAGATAATGTGAGGATTTACGTCGTGTCAAACGAACAACCTCAACGTCCTATAAGTATGTTATTTAAATCTATCGAGGTTCTGCATAAGCTCATGCTTCAGTCTTTGGTAGTTGGCTCGACCATTGTCCGGAGATGAATCGTCAACCGACCACGTCGTCGTCTCGTTTTGAGAAGATGAGAGAGAGAAGAGAGAATAATAATAAAAAAAATCATGTCTCGAACGGTCTATCCTAGGGTATCTAGACAAGGGGTATCTACAGAAGGGGAAAAGAAGACCTCCAAAATGAGGTCAACAAATGGACCTCCAATAGGTGTGGT